AAAGCGTAACTGTTTCATTTCATTTCGTGATTGTAATTCTTGAAGTCGGTAAAAAAGTAAAAAGTAACTTCTCATTTCGTATTCTGATGGATGCTTCAGTTAGAATGCTTTTAAGTTAGAATTCTTTTAATTACTTTTAATTTATCATGGGCACAGGTGGGTTTAACTTTGATATAATCATGGGTTAAGGGGCAGGTGCAGTGCTGTACTGCGTAGGTGCAGGTGGGTGCGGGTCTCCAAAAATGGACCCGTGCAGGACTTTGGCAAACCATCTCATGCACTCAGGCTCACCCCTTGCTTTTTACAGGAAAGAAAATAAAAAAAAGTACCAACAAATTACAATAGAGCGGAAAAACAGATGCACAAAATCTTAAAATTTGTACTTCAGGTCCTGGCAATATTTCTCTCTTCTCAGTATACTGCAGACTTTCCATATGGAGATATAAGAGTCAGAGCTGCTACATAGATTGTTGATATTTATTGTGACATAAAACTCCCAGTACAAATTAGTCTAAACAATAACTCAAAAGTGACTCTGGTTTTTATGTACGCGTCTCCATATTTGGTCATTTCCTCTTGTGTTCTGCTTGTTATTATAGTGCATATACAGCTCGAGTATGAGAGGAATGTGGCCCGCTGCAGATCTTTAAGAGTGAGGTCAGAGGATGCAATAGGAAGTCAATGATTCACTGTTTTCACCCGCTCTCAGTGACCCTCCCGATTCATCACCTGAGCTGGGATTGTAAATTATAAATCCAGCTGTCTGAGGAACGGGTTTACTTAGGGTTGCAATTTTATCCAAGGAAATAATAAGTTGATAGTTTACAGGTGACGTCATCCAAATTCCCAGGGAGTGTGAAGCTATTGGGAAGCACTGCTCTGTCGGAAGCTCTGTTTACTCAAGTTAGACTTTAATCTGAGTTTTATTTGAACACAGTCTGACCAGAAGGAGATAATTAAGCGGTAAACTACAACAGATAAGATGATATGGGCACGTAAAAAAATTTCTCTCACATAAAATTACAGTCACAAAAAGTTTTTCAGTTTCAGTTTTTGTGAAAATCAAACTCCTAAACTGTTGTTTTCTGACAACCTGCTTACAATACCATCAGCTGCAAATAAATGTAGAACACCCCCATTGTGAAGTCACTGCAAAGTATCAATAATTAAAGGTGACATGTTACGCAAATTGTGTTTAGTTTCTTCCTGCCATTCCATAGATCATATAATGCTCTTTTCCACCTGCTGATGTCATGAGGTGGTAACTGTATACTCCAACAAGTGCTTCTCTCTCTCTCTGATCTGAATGGTCACTACCTAAACCCCTAGCCTGATTCATCAGCCGGTTTCACTTCGTGGAAACCGTCTGACCTCGCAGCATTAGGATTCGTTCGCTAGATGGTAGATGGGTACTTTTTTTATTTAACTAATCACTGGTATTTCGTCATGACGTAAGTATGCGCCAAATCCCATAGAAAAAAGGGAAGTAATGTCTTTCCCCTTGATAAAATTCACTAAACATTCTCTTTGTTCCGGCTTTAAATCCTCGATCTCAGGAATCGTTGCCAACGCAGAATGTATGACGTCATCTACATCCATCTTGACTGCTTTGTTTACTGTTGTGCTGTTCCACATAAAGGACCCAGTCATGGCTTCACAGCTTTTCGCTGATTGGCTGATGCGCGGTCTACAACTTCCAGGGTTCTTGCAAACCATCTAGTGTATTCCGAATCCTGACCTAGTCGCTGGAAAGAAATTAAATTGAGCACAGGCACTAAGTGGTGCCAGCCTGGCTACTGAACCTTAGTACCTGCAGCGAATCCTGGACCAGTCCTAGTGCAGCTTCTACAGCTCAGCGAGAGAATTCTGAAGGTTCTGAGCTTTTACATGAAGCATATGTGACAGAGAGAAACTTGTCTGAGCTCTATGTGCAGGTTAACTCAGATCTCATTGTGATTTTAGTACCTTTTATAAAATGGTAAGAGCTCAGAGTGCATACAGCTCCATCATATTCCAGCTGTTTTATTTACTAAAACATCATAGAAAATCATAAAACCATCAAAATATTTATGAATAAATATTTTAATCTTATTCTTATTATAAGCCCTTTGAATTACTATGTGTACAAATTGGATTGTCTCTCCATAGATCTGATCTATAAATTAGCCTAGGTGCATAATGGCATAGTGTGGAACAGAGACACACAGCTGACGAACCCCAGAAAAGTTACACACTGCACATATAAGTATTCTGGTTGCTCCTACACTGAGAAACAACAACAACAACAACAACGATAAAAACTAAACAAAAAAAGGTGTGTGACTGACGTGTGTATTTTTAAACTCTATACACCTTCACTAATCATTTGGATAACTTCAGCCGTGGAATTGCCAACTGTGAATTTGAAAACCACCACTCTGTGACATCACAAGGTGGAAGGGAGCACTTTGCTTTGATGTAGACAGACTAACAATAAAGAGTTACGCAAACATGTGTGAATGAAACAAAACACAACTCCGAGTATGTTTTGATGAGGTAGCAATATTTTAACATATCTTAAAGCTCACGAGACTTCATTTTGCACAATATAGGATTTTCAATAAACGATAAAGACAGAGGAAAATAAAGAAAACAGCGTGCGTGACAGAGATGTGGACATACAGCAGGTGCCCAGACCTTCTGTTTGATCCTCTGGACACAGGTCATAATACTCGGATGTCCAGTAGCCACACGCTCCACTGCACACGCGTATTATCCCAGTAGAGTCAGTGTCATGTGAGACTCATGTGGGGCTCTACACCCTAAGCTTTGATATCGTCTACAGTCCAACATGTGCCCAATATTACAGTACAGACACAGGAATGCATTACACTGGCAACGCTGGCTCAGAAAGACGCAATTTAACCCACAACTTTTACGAGAACTGGAGCTCATTTTTGTTGTTCGGGTTGTGTGCATAAATTTAAACATCCTACATTAGACAAAACTGACTCTTGTGAGCTTCAAGTCACGTTATAATGTTGTTCCCTCCTCAAAAACAGACCTGGAGTTGTGTTTTCTTTCATCGCACATACGCACACAAGCTCAAAAGGCTCTGTTCCACCTCATGATGTCATAAAGTGGTAGTTTTCAAGTTTAGTTCAGTAGAGAATGACCGAAATTATCCAAATGATTCAAGTGTAGATGCATGGAGTTTAAAAACACATGTGTGAATGAAACAAAACTCAACTCCAGGTCTGTTTGTGATGAGGAAACAACATTATAACATCAGAAAGTAGCGTAAATATGGGCTCTTTAAGTATTGTGACTAAAGTACCATGAGAGTCCATGAGCGGTACAGGTTCACAGTGAGATTAGGATCACACTTCTTAACCTGAATCTTCTATTATGTAACTGTAATTAGCAGGTCCCTGACACCAGTGCCTACACTCTACAATCCACACGTTATTACTGCACATTTTCGTACTATTTATAGCTTTTGTACGACTTTTATATAATCTGCCCGTGAATAATCTATAATAAACTCTGAATTGTAGTATAATCATTTTAAAAATAGAGGACTGTCCATTAGGTTTGTCATGATAACACATTTTGAAGTACGATATATTAGTCTAAATCAGAATTATCCCGTAAAAATATTCTAAATGAACAATATAGTAAAAAAAAAACAAATCATACAAACTGCAATAAATAAACAGCAGAATGAAACACTTCACTAAGTTTGTATCTATAATGAGTCATAGAAATTATTTATTCATCCCTCAACAGCTCAAATCTAACTGTAGTGCTGAAAAACAAACAAACCCACTAGTGCAAAGAAAATGTATCCATGATAAACACTAACCACAGTCGGACAATGCGTGCTCTCACTCAGAGGCACTAAGTTTTGGAACAGTCTCCCATTATCCATAAGAAAGACTCCAACACTGGACACTTTCAAATCCCACTTGAAACAGAACAGCGGCTAAAGGAAAACCAGACTTGTGGACACTTTTAGTTTAGATCTGTCACTTTTATTGTTGTTTTTCTCTGTTAAATTTATGGCGTTACCTGCCTAGGGACTACAGATAAGAATATTTTTGCTACAAACTGGTGTATTTACACTGCAGTGTTGTAGATGTTCATTAATATGCACTGTCCCTATTAAATAAATAAGTAAATAAATAAGTAAATAAAATAAAAATAAACAAACAAATCATATTTTTCCATCATATTTAAGGATAAGTTCTTTTAGTGCCATGATTTTGATTTACTTTTTATTTAATTCTTGATTAATATTTAATGTGCACATAAGAGAAGATTTTGTGCTTTTACTTTGGCAGTTAGCAGGTAGGAACTGTTGTTGTTTTGACGCACAGATAGAGATGCACGCCTGGTTGAGAAGCAGTAGTCAGTTAAAGTTAAAATAAAGTGAATAAAGTTGTTTTAAAGGGTCATTCTACCTCCAAAGTATGGGTCAGCCAGCGAGGTATGTTATTTTGTAATTGTTCATGTCTTTATTTTGTGTTTTTTATATTACACCTTTTTAATTGTTTTAGTTCGACGGTGGCATCGGTGACATTGGTGGCATCAGAGGCATCCTTTAAGTTTCAAGATTGTACAAGCCACAATAAAAATTAATTAAGCCATCAGTAAAACGAACTCTTTATTGACTAAAAGAGGAGGTGGTGCGATAAGTTCAATAAGTAATGATTGTGTACTGCATGATGAGGGCAGACTGATGTTTTGAAGTCACTGGCACCAGGCTTTGGCACACACTTGGCATGCGCAGTAGCACCAGGCTCTCTCTCAAACAGTGGTCTTACTCCACACGATGAGCTCCGTCGTCCCCCGCGCGTGCACCGTGCCTGCACACACGCGCGCACTGTAAACATCGCGTATCTATGACAACTTCATAAAGCGGCGCATGGGAGGCTGAAGTTCCAGTATGTCATCGCGCACGGGCGGTCTCTGATTGGCTGTCCCTCCTTCAGCTCCACGCGCTGCGAGGGGCGTGATCGCGTCATGGGGTCTATATGAACGGCGTGCGCCAGAGCGGGAGCAGAGAGAAGCGCTCAGCCGCAGAGACACAAGAGACACAAGAGAGCCCAAGCATCTGGGACATTACCGTAACACGCACGCGCCCACAGCGGACTCACAGCCACACGGGAAAGTTTGGAGCCATGCAGTCAGTGTACCAGCACCTCGTGAGCCTGCTCTTCGTCTTCAGCAGCCTGCAGCTACAGCTCGCGGACGGCTGCTCGTGCGCGCTCACGCACCCGCAGGACGCGTATTGTAACTCCGACATCGGTGAGTACTTGTCTTTATTAGGACAGATCTGTGCTCGTGGGCATGAGAGCGAGCGCACATGGCGAGGCTGTGTCTCTCCTGTCATCCGCGGTCATTACGCGCGTGTCTCCTCACTCTGTTGAATATAAAACTGCGTAGTGTTACTCTACCAATCAGATTATAGAGCAATGCCACAACTGACGCCACCGCCGATAAATAAGAACACTCCAACAAGTATGTCTCCTCTGATACGCTGTTTACTGCAGCTTCTGAACACGCAGACATGGAATGAACCCGAATTGGTCTGACAGCATTTAGAGCCCGTGTACTTGAGCAGCGTTTGACATTGATGCAGCGGAGGCAGAAAGAATGAGACACATTGGTGAAGAAAAAAAAAAAAAAAAAAAACTTAGTCAGAAAATCGCTGGAAATTTGCATAGTGAATTATGCAGGTGAACTGTGACACCACTGCACTGACATTACCATCACATACTTTAAAAATTACCTTCAGAAGTTACCAATGTCTACACATAACAGCAAAATTGTTCATACATCTTGGGTCTCTTATGCATTTTTAAGTCTTGCATGTAGAAATGTTAGTATATGTCGTGACTCCAACCTATATTTTAGCATCGATGGCTCACTTCATCTGCTTATCAGTTGCTTTTGCTGCCCTATTTCTCTGCACACTGGGGTATTTGAGTCTGAAATCCTCTCAGCTGATACGGCCAGACCCTGTATCCAAACTGTGAGTTTACATAGCTGGTTTCTGCTTGCTTGTACTCACACTAACTCCTACAATAATAATATGAGTTTACTTTCAGTTTTGAGGAGGACTAGGCTGACCTGGCATCTGTGAAGTAAAGATTATAAGTGGAGATGGTGGAGGCTGGTGGAGAAGTTCATTTTAGAGAGTATTGAGAGAATTATTATGAGAGAATTTGAGTTATTTGGATGAGAGAAATAGAGAGGGAGAGAAAATGAGGGAGAGTGAAAGAGAGAGATAGTCATGAGGTGCTAAGCCACAGCCAAACAATCCAGTCTCAGAGTAAACTTCTCACAGCAGAGCCCTGGGCTGTGTGCAGTCTGTCAGCTCAAATGCAAAGTTTATAACAGTAGAAATCTCCAAAAAACTAAAACTGTTGAAATTAAAGTGTGGAAAACTTGCTTTAAAAACTATCACGTTGCTGTACACTACTTGGTTTCATTTATTTATTTTTGTATTATGTATCATGTCGATATCATGGGCTGCTGTATCGATATATCGCCAAAGAGTATTTTTTGGTATACTTAACCAAATAATTTTGTTACAGCTCTACAGTTTTATTGCTTGTTTAGAAGACAGAAACTTGTTTATGCAGCACATTTGACATATTCACTGTTTTGAGGATTTAAATATGCATGTTTCAAATTAACTTTACACAAGAAGTGGTTTAACAAAGACTTTTACTATCACAGCCTTTATTATTTATTGAACCGTATCGAATCAATTTGAAATATATTGTATCGAAACCAGGGGTGTAACGATATCCAAGTCTCATGATACGATATTGTCTCGGTATGAACCTCACGATACAATATTTATTGCGATATCGTGGGAAAGCTCACGATTAAAGATGTAACAATATCCAAATCTGTCAGTACGATATTTTCACGATATACATCTCACAGTATGATATTTGTTGCGATATTTTGTGGAGGCTAAACTGCTAAAACTGTTAATATACTACTTTTTCTTCTTAAAATGCCTTGACAAGACTTAAAAGTGCTTAGAAGTGTTATTTCTGCTTGTTGTCTGCACTGAAATGGAGCAAAGGATCATGATCTATGTAGTTCCCTCTGTTTTTTTTTTTTAGCTATTGCTGCACCATAACTCTTAATTTAAGCAAAGAGACTTGTGATTCGATATGTTGCGATGGTCCATGATATTATTGAGAACTCTGACGATACGATATTATTGTTACATCCCTAATCGAAACGTATCAAGTTGAAAGTTCACTGTATCAAGATATGTATTGTATCGCCAACTTCTTCACGATACCCAGCACTAACAGAGATCTTTGCAATAATTTGGCTATCCTATTATAATTACAGATGTTGTTTGGTACGACTGTTTCTTATCTAATAAATAAATACATGCATTTGGTAAAGATTCATCAAAAATTGCACAAACTATTGGACAGATGTTTATCTCAAAGGATGCAGTGTCCACTCATCACCAGCAGAGGGCAGAATTCCAAAATCATATGACATAGTAAAGCTGAGGTTTTCAAGCAAATTATGCACTGAACCTACGAACTGGTGTTTTCATTTGGTATAAATCATTAAACCTGTCGATCTAAAGGCGCACTGTGTAACTTTTCTGGTGGAGGGTCTGCCATCTTGTCTCCATGGTGATGTTATTGCTTTGCCTGAGATGTTCCACAGCGGAATTGAACAAATATATCATGTATTTATTCAATTGCAGGTGTTTTTATTTCTCAAAACTACCGCAAAAACACGTGTTAGTATTGTAAGCAGGTCCACTTCGCCTCAGATCTGACCCGTAACTTGGCCTGGTGAGGTGTCTCCATGGAAATAGTTAAATTAAATGCCAAATAAATGATCATTTCAAGAAAAAAACAACATGGAGTCAAAGTGGAAGAGCATGTATTGGGTTTAAAATAAGACATCTTGTTTTTGTTAAGCTTTATTGTCCATGTATCTCAGTGATCAAATTCTTATTCCTGTTTAATAATACAAAAATATTCCTAGTTTGTCAACAAAACAAAAAAAATTGCCTATATCTGAATCCCTGTTCCTGCTTAAAGTGAGTGGGCGATCTCTGAACCAAGAATAAAAAAACACGTGATTTTTGTGCCAGTTACATTTTAAACAGGAAGTTACTGAAATAAACCTTAAAAACATTGACATACCACCAGCGTTGGCTCTGGACTACTTTTTGGACATGCTAAATACTGTGTGAGCGTCCCCAGCCAAGTGACCTGGTTGGAGCAGACTCAAAAACTCAATCCATACATTTGGGTATCAGCTGGAACTATAGTGTTGAATGTAGAGAGGGCCTGAATAGAGACCGATAGGAAACCGATTTTGGAGTTTTGGTCTTCACTCTGGGTCAAATATAATGTAATTTGTACTTTTCAGAGCACTTTTCCAGCAGCATACTTTTACTCTTACTGGGAATATTATTTATTTTTTATTGAAGTAACAGTACTCTTCTTATCTGAGTAAAAGTTGTGGTGACTCTTCCCACTGTGAGTAAGTCTACAAGTGACATGTTGAGTCAGACTTGAGTCACTATTTTTAGGACTTGAGACTTGACTTGATAAAACGGACTAAGACTTGGGACTCGACTTGGACTCGAAGGTGAATGGCTTGGGACTTGACTCGGATTTGAGGCCTGTAACTTAAGACTTGAGAAGCACTTTTAAATCTGAATTTGTTCTATTCTGATTGTAAGATCTTGTCAGGACATTTAAAAACTCTTAAAAATAACTCTTATATACTCTATAAATACTAATATATAAATATACTATGAGTTTATAAGTAAAATTTATCTTAAAAGTCATATAAATTGCAAAAATCTAAGATATATTTGGTACTTTTTTGGTTTAAAGACTACAAATGACTTGAAGATCAAACCAAACGACTTGGACTTGACTTGGACTCGGACTTGAGACTTTCTTGAGACTTGCAAAACAATGACTTGGTCCCTCCTCTGGTTGACAATATGAAATGATTTGAATATTTGTGTTTCTTTGTCTATCCTCTGTCTCTATCCTTTAAGAAAACACCAGATTCTGTGCATTATTTACAGCTTTGTCCTTCCAATTATGTTAAATTTAAACTATGAATCAGATATTCTTTTAAGCGACTCTTACTTGAGCAGTAACAGGCTCTATTCACGCTTACGTCACAAACCAGAAAGACATTTGGAAACATGCGATTACAACTTCCAGCGGGCTCCGTTCGCGGTAGTAAGTCTGACAAAATCTAGGAAAATGAGAAAATGGTCCAGTTTTCTTCATTTCCATGTCATTGTAGTGTTCTGTTAAGTTCGGCGAATCAACAATTACAACCACAATTCAGTTTTTGTCTTTCGGGTTTATGACATAAGCGTGAATAGAGCCTATTTTTCCAAACACTTCTTTTACTCTTACTCGAGTAATTTCTTGGACTGCTACTTTTTACTTCTACTTGAGTATTACTTGAAGCTGTAGTAGTACCTGTTTCAGCGAATTGAGAAAAAAACTAAACAAAAAAACACAAGAGATCAGTTTACTTTGGCTCGTGTGTGGAATAAAGTGCTATTTAAATAACTTCCTTTAGTGGACAAAATAAGAACACAGTGGAAAAACATAGAATCACATGGACTAGATGGACATTCACGTAGGCCAAGTGGGTGAAGTGTCTTGCTCAAGGACACAATAACAGTTCAGGTTAGACAGTCAGCCAATATATCAAGCTTGATTTTTTTTTTATCTTATAGGTAAACAAGTCTGTGAAATATTGTTAGAAAGTTGTGTAGCTCGTTGTGGCATGTGTGTCTAAGGTCAGATGGGATTAGATAAGATTAGTGGTGTGTTCAATAGAAAGCAGAGGTGACAGTGGTAGTGGATATTCCCTATTTAAAAACTCGCTGTAGTTCAGTCGCAGTTCACGTCAGAATGAGTTTACAGACAGATTTAAATGTTTTAATGCACAAAACCTTTGAAAATGAAACTGAATAATAACATTTAAAGGGACAGTCCAGTATTTTGGACATTTCCTAGTGAGCCAGAGTGTTGGAGACGTGTGGAGACACTTTTAAAAAATATTCCATCCAGTCCTTGTTTTTGCAGAGGTCACTGGTGCTAGGCTAGTGCTTGTCTCCATGGAGATATTGCTTTGCCTGAAATGTTCAACAGTACGGCATTAAACATATCTTGCTTTTGTTCAATTAGAGACATATTTATCGCAAAATAACCACCAGGATAACTCGCCTCTCCACAGATCTGACCTGTAACATAAACTGGTGGCCC